CTTTTTTTTTAATACATAAATATCATGAATGAATAAAAAAAAAAAAAAAAAGGTAAGCATACTTATATACAATATTTAGGGAGTGGGGTAGCTCAGTGGTAGCGTGCTGAGTTTCCAATACTCAAGGTTCCACGTTCGAATCCCGGCTTATGCCAGATAAATTATTTATTCTGTTTCATCAGCCATGCATTGACCCTCGTCGGGAGACCCTGGGGCACACTCGGCCTCTATAAAGTGGGTACCCTTAATTGAATAATTAATTAAGGGGGAAGGTTGAGCGTGATATTGGTCAAATCACCTCTTTGCACAACCGTTGACCAAGAAACGTTACTTTCCCTAAATAGTACTGAACCCAAGACCCATCATGGGTTATAGTGGTAGTGTTCATTTGGTGAGTCCGAATCAATTATACAAAATAAAACATGTTTTTTTCATAGAATGTAAAAACAGCTCTTTTATTCGAAGCCGTTGTAGGTAATTTACATGTAGGTAATACATTTTCCGAAATAAGCAGTAAAAAGTTTTGAAGAAAAACAAATATTTTTTTATCAAATTGGATATATAAACTGGTTAGAATTTTTTTTAGAATATTCATAACCTTCTTATAATATTTTATAAAGTATTGTCTGTATTAGTAATTAAATAGTCTCGTTATAGTTTTAACACAATTAATTTCATATTTATTTTGATTGAGTGCCTTTACAATTTGCACAAATCAATAGGACTTTATATTCTCAAAGGACAAGAGAACAAACAAAATGGCCGCTTTGCATCGGCTAACAAAAGAAAACGTTTAGGAGGCGAGATCTCCGAGGAGCCTATTCTTGTTCGGCCGGGACACTATCTTCCTCTTTGCGGACCATTTCCTCCGTCCCGTCATTCGGATCCACTTATGTCCATTACGGCAGCCGAGCATTTGTCGAGATTTCAACTTAATGCTATTTCATAATACAAGGAGAGATTTGTGGAATAATGTGCTAAATCATTTTCGGAATCACCAATGTTTATACGAGCGAATATCAATGGTTCTCAAATCGGATGAAATAAAACTTTCTGCTTCGAAATGAAATAAAAAGCCTAAAGTAAAGTTTTCGATAAAACTACTTATTGGGTACAAACATTTAGAAACAATCACGTAAATTTCAACTTTAATACAATTTGAGTGATAAGAACGTATACATTCATACAACGTATATAATATACAAGAAAGTAAATTTAGATTGCACTTTTCAAATACTAATAAAAAGTTTTTATTTAAGTGAAAACTTAGAATAACGGTGTGACTTGGAGGTATGGACGAGATTGGGGCGCGCCCTGAGTCCACCGTAGTGTGACGTATATCACTACTATCAAACATATCTTAACCCAATCCTAATAAATATATATTTATTAAAGCTACAAAAAACACATCTTAATCAAAATACTTCTATTAATAGACGACAAAACATTGAGAGCGAGAGAGAAAAAAAAAGGATGCAAATAAGAACTTTTCCTAAAAAATACTCGAAACGTCAACTAACTTCATGTAATAACAATAAAAAAATTGAAATAAATAATATGAAATTTCCAGATTGCTCTTGATTTAATATTATAAAAAGTTATTAAAAAACTGAGTAAGAAGATTATAAAAAAGATAACACTTTAAATACAGCTTAATATTACAAGAACCTTAATCAAGAGAATAAAAAGATGCCTAATGAATGAAGATTTATTTATTTATTGCAGTTCTGGTATTGTTTTATTGTTTAAGTTTGGAATATGATTATATTTTAATCTTTATAAGATTCTTATTAAATCTTATATGACAAATGAAGTCATAACATAAAATATGACGTAAGGTACCTAAATAGTTCCCTATAAAAAATGAAACAATATTTGTCACTAATATTTAAGTTGTTATTTATTAACTACTGAAAATTCCAAACATTATAAAATATTTTATGAATGAAAATCATTAGCTGTACAAAGACACTTAGAGATTTAGAAATAAGTGAATAATGAATTAATCCGGGCTGTCAAGAAATATAAATTGTATTCATGTTATTCGAAATAAATATAGAAATAATTTTTAGATTTTTAGTTTAATTATTGTTTATTTATTGGTGAGTATTCGGAAAATACATAATAATAAAGTTCTCTCATATCCGTTACGTCAGGGCATGTTGTGAATCTAAAAATAGGTTTCCTTGTTGTGATTATCTCTTAAACTTTAAGATATGTCTTGTTTTTAAGTTTTTTCACCAGTCGTTGATTGCTATTTATAATACTGAGAGAAATGTCAGAGCTGTGTAACGCCTCCATTAGATCGTGTTAAGTTAATAACGGTGTTCCTCAAGGCTCACAATATTTCAAAAATAAGCAACCTATATGCATTAGAGGATTGATTTCATATCGAGAGCGGTTTTAAAGTCGTTTCCTCGTGTTCACGCCCAACGAAAGGTCAAGATCGCCAGATTACGTTTCAGGAAAGCCCATTGATATTATCCGAAAGAAAACTGTCATTATTGATAGTCATTGTCCAAGATTCGAGGCTAGCCTGTTTTGCAATTTATCAGTATTTTCCAAAAAATTTGATCAGAAAAATTTCAAAATGATTTGTTAAGAATAATGGCTTGGAACTTATCATGAGGACAAAAACATAATTGAAGAAATAAATTGGAATAGAAATTATTTAATTGAAAGTGTAAATTATTGCCAGAGACACCTTGTTATAAACCATCCGTAAACGTAAAAACCGTAAATAAACACTTTAATCACTGCTTTTATAGAATAAAGGAGCTCTTAATTAAGTTTTAGAATTTTTAATTATCTATTTTCTAAATAATTTAGTAAAATAAATATAAAGCTAGAAAAGAGACCTAAGTAATTATGTTATAAATGCAAAAATCCAAACAACAAAGCCATCCATTTTCCAACATAAAGGCGAATAGTTAATTTGCCGACGTTTGGCCAATTCAGGCATCGTCAGGACAGAAAAACAAGATTAATTATATTAAAAGTAAAATCCTACATACACAACAAGTACACAACATTTCATTCTTCTACTCTCAACCATCCAAATCCACTCGTTCTATCTCTATCTTCCTCCCTGTTACCTGGTGAGCCTCAAAGAATACTAAAAAGGCCTAGAGATCTTCTGCTGAAAAGTTAAATATATCAAGAATTGAAGAAGACAGAATAAACTACAACTACATTTGCTTGATGCGTTACAACGCAGTGGCAAATTTAATGAAAAAAATAAATAAAAATAATTATATGTAGAAAGAAAAATATAAAAAAAATTAATGCTATAGACATCTCACGAAGCCATCCAAATACTTACTTAAAGAAACAGAAGGTTCAATTAAAACAGCACAGGAAGGTTATATTGAACAGATGGTTAGCAGAAAAAGAAGGAAGAAATATGTTGGTTTCGTAGTTGTGGATTTTTTCATTTATATTGCCTTCTATATCGTTTCTAGCTTTGTGCTTATTTTGTAATATTACTTGTGGAATGGCCGTGTATCCACTGAGCTTTTTAAGGAATGAATGTTATATATACTTTCGAGTTTTTTTCTTTCTTTTAATTTGTCAATTCGCTATTCTACTTAATTTAAAACGTCTTGTATTATTATATATTATTTATGCATATATTTGTTTTTCTTTTCTTCAACGTATTTCTGTTAATCAGCTGCTCAGTATAACCTTTCTTTGATGTGTTAATGGAACCTTCTTTTTTCTTTGAGTATGGATTTGGAAGGCTTCGTGAAATGTCTACAGATTTTTTTTTTCTATCTGCATATAAGTAATCTTTTTCTGGCCTAATGGCCCTAATGGTACCTGAATTGCCGAAACGTTGGTGTGTTGATTGTCCACCCGTTTATTGGAGACTCATGGTTTTATAGTTTGAATTTTTCAATTCATAAATGTCTTTTTTCGACCTTTTTTTTCTAATATTAGTAGTATTATTTGTGGAGTATACGAATGATGTAGTTTCAGTCTCATTTAACTGAAATTTCATTTAACAATTATTGTACTTAAATGGTCTTGATTTGCTGCTTTATATATAATTTATAATTTATCACTGAATCAAGCGAAACGAACTATCTAAACATTAAAATAATATTTGCTATATGGCATAAAAGAATAGACAAGAATGTACCTAAGTTTTTATAACATCGTGGCAGAGTAATTTATTAGGCAGTGAACATGTGGGAAGAGAGTAAATATATGTTTACTTTAGTTAAAAGAAAATATACTTTATGAATTGTATGTTTTTCCAGCCAAATTTATTTCACAGAGATAACACCAATTGACATTAATTTTGATGAAATTTTCAAGGATAGTGAAGATAGATTAGATAGACCAATAGGTACTAATTTTATCGAATTCTACATTTTTTTTTAGCTAGGCGTGCGTTTTCCCTTGATAACACTAAATTCCGAAAAAAGCTTCTCTTTTTGACTTTTTTTTTTTAGGAAGTAAATACTCCTAGACTTCAGTAATGATAGTTCACCGTACATATAATTATAAAAGCAGGAAATGGAAAAAAATAGTAAAAGTTATTTCACAAATATTGCATAATTTCATCTAATGTGTTAACAGCTATTATTTTTTTGTAAGGGTAATGTCCAATGTTTTAAGAGAAATATAGGAAAACTTGTCAAAAAACTTCAAAGACCTTATCAATCATAATGAGTATATTATTGGAGTATAATTGAGTTTCTTTTTTTTATACGGTCAATGATACTGTAACATTATATTAAGAACATACATTTTTAAATTTTTCTATAAATGAATAATCATTGTTTTTTTAAATATGGTTCAATCCTCTGATATCAACTCCTTTTGACAACTACAAATATACAAAAAAAATCTAAAGTGCGCACTGTAAATATAAATATACATTTATAAATTAAGTTTCAGAAACATAATATACCATACTACAAATCGCAGATCCTTCAAACGTATAATACAATCGCAACAGGAAACTTTCTGGGTTATATCGGCCAACAGTGGGAATGATGAAGAGATGCGGCCAGAAAGGTTATATTACTAGAGTTATTAGTTGCTACACAAATAGAACTGGAACTCGAAGGATATTGTTACAGCAGAAGTTGATTACGACGGCTATAGAAGTGCTGCTAGGTACAAAGAGGACAATAAAGCGAGCAGGGGTACAATGGCAGCCGGCATATCCACATGTTCGTAATCCGATCCTTCACTGTCGTCCATCTGGAAGCCCTACGTGCCCTTTATGGGTCGCTGCTACAAGAACCTTCCTCACGTCCTCCTCAGCTCTAAGGGCGACTTGCATTACTTGGTCGGCCACGGAGCTCTTTCAGTGTCCTTCTAAAGTGCCGGCAGAATGGCAGCTTGAAGTAGCCTAAAGCACTCCTTCAAATATACACCCGGGCATTATCTTCTTAAGAGGATTTCTTTAAGTATACTTTGTCGCTAATTCAGAGATGGCCCTATAGTTGAAATTTATGTTTAACCAGAAATATAATATAAATGATATAAGGAAATCCTCCAAAAAAAAACAAAAACAACGAAACACTTTTGGAAGAATCCAAATTCTTTAAAATGGCATAATGTGAAGTGGGGTAAGTGAAACCAGGTTTATTTTATTTTTGGAGGTAACTATTAGGAATATGGAAGTACAACTCAGCACACAGTATTTAGGGTTATCTGTAAATAATTAGAATATTTTTATCATTTTATGTAAATTAAAAAAAAAAAAAAATCAAAAATTTTCATGTCCACTAGATTGCACTTACCCCATGCATCCGGGGTGAATGCAAACTCACTCTAGAATCCTCCATAAGAGGCAATATAAATGACAGCGGTATATTACAGTATAACATATATATTACAGCTTGTTTTTCAATGAGTCTGCCATTATTTTTCTTTAATTTTTTTTATCTTAAACCGTTTGGGAGATACAAACATTTTCGAGAGTCAACGCGGGGGTGATCGGAAAAATTATTCAAATTTAAAAATCAGATTTTTGTGTTATTTCTTGATATTATTTAGCTTTTTCAAGAGATATACTATGGGATAAGTGCGACCGGCAAGGTGCCATCTTCATGCCAAGTGTGAAAATGACGGGAAAATAAAGCATATTTCTGAAAAATACAAATTAAATCTTCTTAATTTTCAAGAGCATTTAAAATTTATAATTTCGAGGAAAATCGCTTTATTTCACCATTACACATCCACTCCATGCTTCAATATATTTTAATTTTCTCGACGACGTTTCAGGCAATTTTTCCCATTTTCAAGTCGAAATATTTACGTTATTATGTAATAATATTTTCTATATACTTATAGTAATTTCTTTTTTTTCTCCTCACATTCTTATAATTATAAATTTCATAACTTATTTATGAAAAGTCAATTTATTTTATAAATAGACTGTCAAAAAATTAAATATTTTTTTAAAAATTTACATCAAATGTTACCCATTTTCATCCTTTCAATACAACATCCTTATGTCCACCTCATCAATTCTAGCCTTATATAAATTTTAAAAAATGTTTAATTTTTTGACGGCCCATAGGTAATTTATAAAATAAATTGGCTTTTCATAAATAATTAATGAAATTTATAATTAGAAAAATGTGAGGAGAAGAAAAAAAAAAGTTTTACAGTAATTATATAAAAAATAATATTACATAGATAATATGATAATAACATGAATACTTCTGCTTGAAAATGAGGAAAATTCCCTGAAACGTCATCGAGAAAATTAAAATGAATTGAGTGGAGGTTTAAATTTAACTTTATAAAATACTAAGTTTGCTGGATTGAAAGTAAAAAAAAAATGAAATTGGATACAAAAATTTATTGATAGAAATTATGATTCGTCAGTTCTCCATGAAATCTCCTTGCGTTTGATACCTCATTCAACAAAATTCATCGTTCTTGAGAATCAGAAAAGGAATCTATTAAGAGGGAAATATTAAAATCGTTGATAGATCAAGATCTAGAAAAAAGTTCATATAAACAATTGCCCTATTTCCAGCAGAAAAGTGGAAAATTTAAGATTTATGTTTTTCTTTTTCAATTCTTTTATTTCCGTGATATGGGATATATTGTAATAAACATAATTGTCTAGAAACACATTTTGTTTATAAAAATAAAAATAAAGAGGATTTTCATATATTTTTCACGTAAAGCGGTTTTGGAACTGTGTTTTTCTTCCTGATTTCTGTAATAGAAATTGATACGTATTACGTTTTTATGAAAATAATTTAGGTAATCAGTAAGTTTATTTATTTTATACGTACATTTTAGTAAAAAAATTATTAAGTTTGTCCCTGTTAAACACATCAAAATTACTATGACTTCTTTTTGGGAGAAGAACACAGTTGCATAAATACTTTACATGAAAAATCATAATTTTTAAATTATTTTATTTTTATAAATAAAATGTGTTTATAGGCAACTGTGTTTATACAATACAACCCACATCACGGAAAAACAAGAAATAAAAGCTTTGCAACAGTTAACTGTAGTTATTTTTGCTGAAAACAAGGTTACTTTTATATGACTTGATAAACAATCACATTTCTTTACTAAACTGGAAGTGAATCTCAAAATTTTTCCTAATACACCTCAACTTAATTAATATGGACTTGAGGCTTATTAAACGTTTTTGAAAATGTAGTACAATTGAAGAGTGATAAAAAAATCACAACTAATTTATGACTTTTTTTTAAACGGATCCTAGCTGTGTCCGCTCAAAAGTCCTTTTTAAGTAGTTTTAACGGTGACAAACTCTTCTTTCATTTAAAGTAAATTTTGTCTCGTTCAATATGGAGCAATTTTTAATTACTTAAATAAAATAATTTTTAATTGTGGGTTGATGGTTAACTGTAGTGAATAATGAAGAGAAGGATGGTTGGCGTGATCAGTCAAAATACAAATTTCAAAAATAAATAATAATATTTATTTGGACATTTGCCGACGTTTCGACCCGAAGTTCAGTCCTTCATCAGGGCTGAGAAAAGAACCGGATAACAATAGGTATGAGAATCATAAACAATGTAGATAAAAAAAAAAAAATAAAGTAAAAAGAAGTAGATAAGTGAACATTAAAGTAAAATAAAGTATACTTTGTTGTTAGAATAATAACAATAAATAACAACAAATATTTTTTAAGTTATCGCTTTCTATACAACAAAATATGTGACTCACTTAAAAAACTACAAATCTTAAATGTTATACTTTTCTGCTGAAAATTGGGCAATTGTTTATATGAACTTTTTTGTAGATCTTGATGTCTACTAACAACATTTTAAATATTTCCCTAAACAATATTTTTTTTTTATTGATGATATTTACAACTTTATTATAAATAAAAATACATTCAGTAAATGTGAACAAAATAATATAATAACATGAAACCACTTGTTGAGAAACTACCCACTGGAAGCACTCTAAAAATGTATTTACAAAAGGAGATCTCGAGGCCATCTTCTTTTCAGACGCCTTGGAGGTTGTCAGGGATCGAAGAGGGAGCAAGGTTGGAAACGAGGGGGTTTGGATGGTTCTGAAGTTTGTTATAGAAGGATAGGTATCTGGATTGGGCCAGGTCTGAAACATAAGGAACATTAAGGTTGTCATGGATGATTTTATTTGTGATAAAGTAAGGAGCAGTGAGGATTTTACGAAGAATTTGTGATTGTAAGGATTGGATACGGGAGGAATTCGATGGCTTAGTGGAGTCCCAGAGCTCAGCTCCGTAAGTCCAAATAGGTCTTATTGTAGTCATGTATATGAGGCATGTAATTGACTTGGAGCTTAGAGCGTTTGTCTAGTAAGTGCTGGAGTAGTCGGAAACGTCGAACGGTTTCTTGTCGTTTCAGTCTGGTCAGTCTGGTCAGTTAAGGAATCCCTAAACTTAAAAATGTTCTTTGCTTGAATTTATTTATTTATTATTGTAAAGTAAAAAACAATGCTTTTGGGATCGATAGAAGAGCTGGAAGAGACGCTGTGACATGGATAGCCCTGAAAGGGGTCGCTGAACTCGAAGGTTAACTGGCCTATTGAGTTATTTAATAACAGTGGCCGCTAACTACCAATAATTATCGGTGTGGCTAAGTCCCTTGTTAATTGTCTTGTGGTCAGATCTGCTAATAGCCCTTAATCTAACTTACCATTATACTTTCTAATTTGCAATTTATTTTTATAAGTAATAAATAAAAACAGTGTAGGAAACTTCATCCAAAAATAAATAATATCGTCAATATTTCATCTTTCAGTTGTTGTTTTGGTTTATATTGGTAACATAAAAATGTGTTATCTTTTTTTGCTATTTTTCATTATTAATTAATTCTTCTTATATTATTTTATGTTCAATAATTTACTTAAAGAAGATGTTTATGTTATTTTAGGTAATTAAACCTTCATACATTAGTATGAAAATTTTCTCTTCCGGGTATTTTAATTTATTTATCTGTTCATCGTTTAAAAAAAAAAAAATAGATTTTTTGAACAAAAATTCAAATATGTCACTAATACTTGACAATTTCAGTTAAAATAGGTGAAGAATTGGTATAATCAATATAATTTTGCATTTAATTCTTCCAATTTATCATTAAGGCTTAGTTAGGTTTCTCTTATTTAAAAAAACACAATGATATCTCTATAGTGATAGGCTGATAGGTAACTGCAAGACTCTTGCGGAAGAACAAGATCAAGCCCAAGAGTGGGTGCGCAAGACCAAGACGAGTCTTGGTCTCGCATTTGGGCAACACTACTCATCTTCCGAGAAATTTCTTTCACTTCCTAATGTTTTTTCTTTATCCCATATTCTTCTAATTCATTTTATTAAACATTTGTACTTCTGTTTCATTTAAAAAATTGTATACATCACTTGGTCTTTCTTGGTCTTAAAGTCCTTCTTCATTTAAGTCCGCTTAAATAACCATCAATGTGACGAAAATTGACCAAGTGGTGTATAAAATTGTTAATATAGAAAGACCAATGTTTCATAACATACATTAGAAAAATATGAGAAAACATTACGAAGTGAAAGAAATGTCTTGGAAAAGAGCCCGAAACGTTGGACAGATAAATAAATTAACACATAAGGAAGAGAAAATTTTCATACATTATACCTAAAATTATTATTTAAAAAACAGAAACAACTAATTTTATCACATTTAAGTGTATACATTTAAGAATATCTTCGTCTGCATATACTTAAATGGAGTATTCGAATTTATCTGAAGTTATTATAGCCAAAGAAAAGGAGAGAAACTACTACATTTAACATACATAAAATGTCACTTTGAAAACCGAAATTGTTTCTTTAGCACTTAGTTAACAAATGATAATCTATTAAAAAAACAAAGAGCTTTAGACAAAAAGAAAAATAATT